AGGGTGACTTAGCTGTTGTGGAGTAACAGTGAAGGTAAGTTGTCAATGGTTAAGCTTCGGCTTTTGCATGCTCACCGTTTAAGGATCACCATTCATCGTCTTGACGGGTTCTCAAGCACCACAATAAGGCGAGCATAGCACGTCGTAATGACACCGACCGCTGGGCTCTTAATTTAGACAAGTTCACGGAAATGCGAAATTTTGCCTTACTTCGCAAAAACTAAGACAATACGAGGGAGAAATGAATCAAGAGCCGACTAAAAGTCATTCCAAGTTGTCTAATTTCCTTATACAAACCACGCCAAACTTTTTAGACAACTGGATACATTCGTTTTAAAAATTCACCTCAAATGAACAGGTAACGACGGTTCTTAGAAGTAGCTCACCCGTGGGGTCGATTGACAGTTAATTACTCAATGTTCAATCACAATTCTATATGCTGGTCTTAGCCGAAAAAACTATTAAGTCTTTTATAAACTCTTCCTAACATTAGAATAGCATCTTCCTGGTTGGCTGTGAAATCGGTGCAAACATTCGCAAGCGCACACACACACACTTACAAACGCACACAGAGGCACGCACATGAATTCCGTTTTTGTAACCGGAATGCATGAAGTACATAGTCGCTACAATTTGTGCTACATGATTTAGAACGAAAGTACAACTACTCTTCCTCAAACACATTCCCATGCGAATCTTTTTACTGCACACCCAAATAAATTTAGACCATATCGGGTTATACCAATTTTGAGGCTGTCCACGATGCGCCGAAGGAAAAGCTCAATTTCCGCATCCCAAAATGCGGCTTTCGTCTGGACCGGACTGCAGGTTTGAGCCCAACTTATCGTATCAATAGGCACCCTTGAGTTTACCATTAACCCCGATGCGCCACTGCTACCAAATACATTCGCCAGTAATACATCGAGTCTAACAGCAAAAGCACAAGTTTTATTTTCAATATAAAAGTTCTTACAAAACGATGCAAACTGAAAGAGGCCTGCTTCGAATTGATGTGAATGCTTGTCTTGTGACACAATTGTCCTATTTTCGTGAGGATTAAACGCTAACAATGTAGGAAGTGAAGTTCATTCTCGCACAGGACAGCATGTGCGATATGCAAAATCCAAGTCTTCCGTCCACTCTAGACTCTCTATCTGTCACACAAGAGGCCAGTCATGACTGGTCTACCTCTTTAACAATAAAGTCACAGCGTCGAAACTAGAGACTCTGTCTAACTTTGGAAGTAGAGATGAAACTTAAATAGACATTTCCAGTGAAAGCATTAGTCCTATCTTCCGTACTGCGCTACAGTAGTGTCTAGCAATTGTATCACACTTATTACGGGTAAGAAGTTTTTATAAATAATTTTAGTCGCCCTAGGTCGCATAGGAAGATAAAGAATTGGTAGATGAATTTCTCCACGAGATACGTCGCTTCAGACTGCTCCGGATCAGATTCGAGGCGAGAATTGGCGTCTGGGTCCGAACAGTCCTCGAGAGCCTGTTAGCCTGCGAGTGAGTGGGTCTGTCTGCTCAGCACAGTTTGGTACACCTCCGAATGCCCGGACTCAAACATGAATTTAGTCATTTTCTTGAGGACGACTGGTAGTTGAATTTTACTACAATTGAATTCTTTCACCAGTCCTTCATTACCTTAAACAAAATTTGGTGAATACATCTCATATTACTGATTTACTTAAATGCGAAGAATTTCACTTAGCCTTGCCTCCCCAAAAGTTATTTTCACTAAAGGGTAGCAAAAGAATCATGAGGTCTACTCATATGATTGCGATAAAATTCAGTCATCAGTCATTCATTACACTCGATCCAGGGTGACTGGAACTCTTATTCACGATCTATTGATGGCGTCAGGAGCCCAGTTTAGCTTATTTTAAGAAATTGTGCTAAAATACCTTTTCTCTGTGGCCGAGAGCCCGGTAGCTAAGTTTACGCCAATGAAGTGCATCCCATCCTGACGTTTGTTGTCACTCAGCTTCGCCTGGGTCCCTTTAGCTGATAGTTTCGAAGCCTACTTTATGTGAATATAAATAAAATAGTCGACTGTAATGGCAAAATACACGTTTGCCTCGTCGACAATCCGACTATAAAATGTGGTATTGGAGAAGCCAGGCTCAGGGTCAATTTCGGCAGTGTGGCATTATGGTTATGTATCGATATAATACACTAACCGGATTCGGTTGCCGTTGGAGGTGTTAACGAGACCCAGTCAAGGTGGAAACTTCTGTCAGCTCCAGCCTAGATGAGACTACCTTTTGGGAAGTAAGGTTAAGTGAAATTCACCGGAAACTTGACGCCAACTCTTATTATTTGGGGAGAATTCAACTACCACACCTGCATCACACTATGCGAACTAGGGTGACTATAACTCTCATTCAAAATTAAGTAATAATAGTATTATATAATATTCATATAAAGTGGGTTTTGAAATTATCACCTAATTTTGAGTGAGTTCTAGTCAACCTATATCGCATTAGGTAATGAACGTGTGGTAGCTTAATTGTATGTGAGAATTGCCTAATCTTACATATTTTTCAATGATTACATATAATTATATATATATATATATAATATTGATGGTATGAACAACTAGACGGCTAGGGTGAAGGGTTGTTGTCGCTCTGTGATAAGGATGGCACCTCTCACTGATGATGTCGGCGAAACGTCTGGGAATGTATCAAGTCCACGCTCCGACTCTGGAAATTATCCGGGATATTATGGAAATTCATCTTCTAGCTTTAAATTCCGAGTTCCCACAATTTGAGTTCTCTAACTAGCGCTCTATTTATCTCGCTGTATTAATTCACATGGCATACCGTGTTTAGAGAAAAGCAGTTGTGATGGTAGTAGTATGCTGCCTCGTCCTGCTTAGAGTACTACTGAGCCTGGTTCTTAATGCGAATACTCACAATTGGGAGACACTGATGCTGGGGTACCTGTCATTTCTTTTGAGAAGGACGGTGGAGGGGATTCGACAATTTGTCTCACAGGAGGCTGAAGGAGGATTGCCATGTTGGTGTGACTGATGGATTGTGTGAGAGCAGTCATGATGGACCTATTATGTACCTCTGACGATGCTAATCACGGTGAGAAAGACAAAGGCTCATCATGGATTTATCCGGGATGTTGGACGGTGAGCCAAGGTCTTTTTCCCACAATTGGACGAAATGAAATAAAAAATAATAAGAGTAGATGGGTGTATTCGATTAATCTCTTGAGATAACATTGTTGTGGCGACTTTTATTTCCTATGCAAGAGCATACGGAAGAGTTTCAAAGCTCGATCGCATCAGAAGACGACGGCTGATTCTCTTTGTTCTGCAGCCGTTTGGCGCTAATACGAAGCCGTGCACAAGACATACTCTCTCGTTTTGGAAGAAAAAGGGCTGAGATTTCATTCGTCTTGCCCCATGACAGAGATAGTCAGCAGTGAAACTCCTTCTTCTTCAAGAAGAATATCTGTCTCTATCCTACATGGAATATATATACTCATAGCTAAAAACGTTAACACACACCCACACACATTCACTTGTTCTTCAAATCATGAGTTTTGCCTGAGCTTGGAAATGCTGAATAAATGTACAAATGCCATCTATGCTCAAAAGATTGGACGCAAGAAGAGGGCGCCATGGTAGAATTGCATCTCGGGATCGTCATGACAACAGCGAATAGTTGTCACTCGAACTCGAGCCTTCTAGGCCGGTTGCTGACTCTACGAGAAGCTCGACTCGGACGGTGAAGAGTCGTTTTGCCGTAATAATTAGCGAATGGGCCTGGCTAACCGGCCTTAATCGGTGTTTCATAGAAGAGTGAATAAATCCCTTCAACTCTGTTTCCTGCAGTTAAGCCATAGTCTGACTTAAGGTTAAGTTGAACTAAGAAGGTTATCAGATACAATTGTCAAGTCAAATCAGCTTACCCATTTTGGCCTCGCAACGCCCGACCGTCTTTCGTTTGCATCTTAAATGAACGCACAAGTGTGGCCTGCTGATCCACTACACTGAGACATCCTGTAGTTAAGACCTGCATCACGAACAATCAAGTGGTTAACTGTATTTTTTGCCTCAGAAAGAAAGAGAGAGAGAGAAAGAGAGAGAGAGGAGGAGAGAAATGAAAGTGAAGAGAGGGGGGGGTGAGTTAGGAGGGAGGTATTGCCGCGGTGACAAGGCAGACATCTGGCCTACACTTCAACGAATGCCTCAGCAGACAGCACCAAAGTCCACGCTTTCACGCACTCATCGCTTGCCTCCACTCTGGATCTGTGCGTTTGAGGTGCACAGACAGCCTGACACAACTGCACAACTGCACAACTACACAATTGTACAAGTGTCGCGGACATAGTCGCCAACCTCGAGACGAATGGACGAACGGGTAAACGGAAAGATTGACGTAGTTACAGCATTGATGGGCAAACCTGACTCGAACGCATCGAGAAGACGAGACAAAGTGAATTATCTTCACATGATGCAACCGGCTATCGGCCGTACTCCTATTCCTTGTATGGCGTAGCTACGCGTCTTTTCGCCTTTAATCATACAGACGCCAGATTCGAGCGCTGGGACTGCACACAGTCCTCCCGCATTCCGGCCTGTCAACAGAGCTACTGATTCAACACAACCACAGGAGAACAGGGTCACTTTCCTAGATTGCACGCTCGCACACATGACTTAAGGCACACGCACACACACACACACAACCACATACTACACACAGATAGCGCCGCACAAATACACACACACACACACATTGGTGTGCATATAT